AGACAGAAGAGAGAGAGAGAGGAGAGAGAGAGAGAGAGATTACGAGGTAGATATGTAAATAGATAGATATAGAGAGAAATAAACGCAAAAAAAAAAAGATTTCAGGACACCAGTCTATCCTCATCAGACTATTGTGATTATTAATTTTTTAGTTTAGTCCTTTATTTACCACCCTGGCTAACTGCACAGGCATGGGCAAACAGTGGTACATTTGATGCATGGTCAAAGCATTATATAATAGTATTACAGTGTAAATATAGACCATAAAATTATTACGGTCTAAAATATATTTAAAAGAAAAGAACAATCAGTAATTTCATCAAAGCCACACACAGCTTGGGCGTGGAAAGGCAATGTAACATTTGATATGTGGTCATACTGATAAGGACGTCAGCCAATTTTGTCCTGACGGCTGATCTCCAGGTACTTGATGTCTGTGTTAAATCTTTTTGTATGTTTGTCTTTTTATCCGTGTGTCTATCTGTCTATCTATCATTTTATTTGGTATATGTGTCTATATATCTATCCGTATGTGTGTCTGTACATCTATCTGTGAGTGTTTGTCTATCTCACTATCAGTCTGTCTTTTCATCTAAGTATCTATCCATCTATCTATGTTTTTTCTCGTTCATCACTCATCTATCTCTCAACCATCAACCTTCTATCTATCTATTTATCCAGCTATCTCTTTCTCTCTGTCTGTCTGCCTGTTTTTTTTTCTCCCTCTCTCTCTTTCTGTCCCTGTCTCTATCTTTCTGCCTGTCTGTCTGTCTCCCCCCCTCTTTCTCTCTACCAATCCATCTATCTATTGATCTCTCTGTCTATCTATATACTTTTATGCATACGTAATCAGTCTCCCCCCCTCTTTCTCTCTACCAATCCATCTATCTATTGATCTCTCTGTCTATCTATATACTTTTATGCATACGTAATCAGTCTCCCCCCCTCTTTCTCTCTACCAATCCATCTATCTATTTATCTCTCTGTCTATCTATATACTTATATGGATACGCACTCACATATACTGTATACATATTTATGTGTGTGACCACGTGCTACTTTAAATAAGACAAATCTCGGTATATTATTTTCTCAGTTCATCTCGTATTTTTATGTCCTTTATTTTCTTTTGTCTCTCCATATTTCGCCCTTTTCCTAAACGCTGTCATTTTCCTCTGATCTGTATCCTTACTAATGTTCTTACAACGTCTTAAGTGGGTAACAATATCCGATTAAGAATAGAAGCTATGTCCTTTGGCTTTCGGATAAAGAGGCTTTATTTGGAAGACTCGCTACCTATCTTTCTATCTATCGGTCTCGCTATCTATCTATCTCTATATATAAACGTCTATGTACTATTCATCGGATATATGTCAATTTACAGATCACTTCTCATTAACTCTCAAGATTCATTGATATATATCTCTTCCTATATATATCTCAATGCTTCTAGCTGTTATCATCGTTATAATTATCATTGTTATCATGATTACTATTATCATTATCATTGTTATCATTATCGTTATCAGTAACATTATTATTGCTATCATTATTATCCTTACCATCATTATCATTATTATTATTATTGCAATTCTCATTATTATCATCATTATCATTATTTTTATTATTGTAATACTCATTATTATCACTATTATAATTATTGTAATTCTCATTATTATCATCATTTGCATCATTATTATTATTGGAATTCTCATTACTATCATCATTATCATTATTATCATTATTGTAATTCTCATTATCATCCTCATTATCATTAACCCCCAACACAGACCATTCCGAATCGCTGGTCTTAGCAGAGACCCATTTATTCCTCTCTTTGAACCTCGGCAATGAATCGGAAGTTGAAGCCGGACGCATCCCATTCAAAGCTCTGGGTCCAAGGCGTGTACTGCAGACGCGTCGCTGGCTGGGTCGGCTGGGCACTGGGATATAATCTCCCATAAGTGCTCTTAGGCTTTGTCTCCCGCCCGTGCAGTGTCCTCCAAGACAAAGGGAGGTTTAACAATAGGCCTTGTACTAAGCAGGTATTACTATCGGATTTCTTTCTTTCCTAAATCTTTATCCGTCTCTCTCTGTTCGTACCGTTCGGTTACACTCAAGAGCTATCTTTTCGATACCTAGATGTATTTTATTGGCGATGCGAAGCTTTTTCTCTCGTGTTTTTTTGGTCGAAAGGAGAGGGAGAGAAAGACATGCAATTTCGACCCTTATGGTGAAGTTAACGGATGAGGATGATTCAACAGGCTGACATGTGAGTCAATCTTGGGCCCCGGATGCTGCTGACAGAACATCGAGATATTTTTTTCCGTTTCTTTTCTTTCCTCAATTTTAGTATTTCTTTTTCCGAATATCGTATCGGCACGCAGAGAAAAGAAGTGTTAATAATCATAATAATATCTATTGCAATTAAAGAGGCAAGGTGATGTGTTTGTGTTGAGGGAATATTATTGTTAATATTCCACTTATTCTGGTTAATTTG